GGCACCGACACGGGCTTGGGGGCCGTGGCGTGACCAATCGGGCGCCGGATTCTTCCGATAGGCGCGGCCAACCTGGGAAAAGACTTTGCGGTACAATGATGAAGAGACGATCACTCACCTTTTTAGAACGGCTCCGGTGAGTGATGCCGCGGCCAAGCTGCTTGATGTCCAGGTCGCAGCGGCCGAGGTCCAACCGAACGACCTGGACCTCGAATGACTCGAGCCCATGTGCACTATCCCACAGGAAGGGACAGATGAAGACGACATTTGATCACTTCTCTCTGCATGTGCTGACATGTCGGAGCGCGGCCTTTGCAGGCAGCCACCGGCCCGCCGAGACGCTCCAGTACTCCACTTGCTCGCCGACCTCCAACAGGCGCCACAGCCCGTCGTCCGATCCTTTCCGGTCCTCTCCTCCTCGCATTCTCTTGCATGGCACAGCATGGCACCTCGTAGCGCTCTTGGGAGGCCCGTGGCGAGGAGCGGACCTGCCAAGGCCGGACGCCGCCATAAATGCAGACAGCACACCGTGAGGCCTTGTCGGCGGAGACTCCCTTCTTGCAGTCCAGGTCGTAGCAGATGTTGCCCTCCAGCTCGAACATGCGGAGCACCAGCGTCTCCACCCACCTCTGCTTCGTCTCGCTGAAGTACTGCACCTGCAGGGCACGTTCCTCACCGAGTCGCCTGGCCGTGCCTCAGGGCTCAGGGCCTGGTCTCCGGCTTTGAAGCCGCAGGCCAGCGGAGGCGGAGGCACGTCGACCTCGCAGCACCGCCCACGACAATCAACAAGTATACTACAACGGCGGAGGCGGACATTGTGGGCCAGGATTGGGCCCAGCAGGGGCCGCGGAGCCTGTCGAACGCTGCTGGAATGGCTTTTCAGGTGCTGCGCGCCTGCGAAGGTTCGGGACAAGCGCGGCGCTCGCCTTCAGCAGCGAGGCGGAAGCTTCCGAAGCGCCCGAGACCTCGCAGCAGAAACAGAACGACGTGCCACGATCGGGCAGACGTGTGTCCCCGGAGGTCGACGGGCCTTGCGGACTCGGTTCAGGGGAGCTCCCGGCTTCACGTCCAGGTCACAGGCCCGTGCCTCGAGGCGATGCTCCTAGCGCGACTTTCTGCTTAAAGCTCCTGCAGCCGAGGCGCCTCCAAATTCAGCCGCTCCACCTGCAACGCAGAACAGCCAGCGTTCTCTCTCCCGCTCTTGGTCTCCCTCCGCAGTCGCTGGCCTTCGCAGGCATCCACCGATGTCCCGAGGCGCTCCAGTATTCCACCAGCTCGCCTACCT